CTTAAGCCCTGCACTCTCTTCTCTCTTTTGAGACTTTTTGTTATTTTCCCACAAGCTTCCAAGGCCGTGTTCATTTTTTTTTTTAATCTATTTTCTCTCTGTCACTCAGATTGGATAATTTGCATTGATCCATCTTCAAGTTTACTGACTCTTTCTTCTGTAATCTCCATTCTGTGACTGAGCCCATTCAGTGAGAGTTTTCATCTTTGATATTGTATTTTTCAGTTCTAAATTTTCATTCCATTCTTTTTTTATATCTTCTACTTCTTTGCTGAGATATTCTAATTTCCCATTTGTTTCAAGAATATTCATAATTGCTTTTAGAGTTTTTATGCTAGTTCTTTTAAAATCTTCATCAGATAATTCACACACTTTTAACTTTGGGCATTAATACCTGTTGATTTATTTTCTTGTGCAAGATGAGATTTTTTTCCCCCTGGTTCTTGCTATGCAGAGTAATTTTGGATTATATATTAGAAATTCTGTGTTATAAGACTTTGGATCCTCTTTAAATCTTCTATTTTATCAGGCAGTCAACCCATTTAGATTTAGAACACACATCCTGGCCCATATTTGTGGGCTGTGGTTTGAATGTTAATTTACCTTTTGAACCTTTGCAGTACTGTTTTGGTCTGCCCCACTGTGCACAACAGGGAGGCCAGTCTGAAACCTGGGTACTATTCCACACTGTAGTTCAATTCTCAAAGCTTCTGCTGTGTTGATTCTGGCCAGTTTAATGCTTGGGCCACTGAGAGATGAGCCCAGGACTTCATACTTAAATATTTAAGAATTCTCTTTCTTCTGCTCCCTCTTCTTCATCCTCTCCCAACTCTCTAGTTGGAGGAGGAAGAGACTGCTGCCTCTTTGTGCTTAGTGCCGAGTGGGCACTGTCAGCAGGGGCTCCGCCTGACAGCCTCTCACCACTGTGTTTGGTGGATAAGAGAAAAAGCCCTGCCTCTGCTTACATTTATTTAATGTGGAACAGAGATAGCCACCAGGTCCAAATGTCAAACCTAAAACTATAAAGCCTCTAGAAAAAAAAATGGGAGAAGATCTTTGTAACCTCGGATTAGGTAAAGATTTTTTAGATAGAACACATAAAGTAGGATCCATAAAAAAAACTGATAAATAAAACCATCAAAATTAAAGACACCTGCTATTCAAAATATACTGTTAAGCAGGGCTGGCTGAGTGGCTCAGTTGGTTAAGAGCTCACTCAAGAGTGCGAGCTCTGAGCAACAGTGGTTCGAGTCCCGGCCCGAGCTGAGCTGCCACTGAGCTGCCAACAGGTGGTAGGATGGCTCAGCTAAAAAAAAACACATAAAGAAACTGCAAACCAAAATATACTGTTAAGAGAATGAAAAGACAAGCTGCAGACTGGGAGAAAATATTGGCAAAACAGAACTTATATACAGACTTCTCAAAACTCAATTAATAGGAGAACAAACAACCTAATAAAAAATGGGCACTTGACCAGACACTCCACCAAAGAAGATATATGGATAGTAAATAAGTGCATAAAAACATGCTCATCATAAGTCATGAGGAAAATACAAATTAGAGCCACAATGAGGTACTGCTCCACTTATTATTGATGATACCAAGTGCTGGTGAGGTTGTGGAGAACCTTGGAACTCATATATTGCTGCTGGTAGAAATGCAAAATGGTACAGTGACTCTGAAAAACAGCTTGGTAGTTTGTTATAGAATTAAACCTACATTTACCACACACTCCAGCAATTTGACTCTTAAGCATTTGCCTGAGAGAAATAAAAACTTACGTTAACACAAAAACTTGTCTGTGAATATTTGTAGCAGCTTATTTACAATTGCCTAAAATTGTAAACAATCCAAATATCCTTCAGCTGTTGAACATGTAAGGGTATTGTAGTACCTCCATATAAAATAATCAAAAGGAACAAACTACCGATAAATATAACAACATGGATGAATCTCAAATACATAACGCCAAGCAATAGAAGCCAGACTCAAAAGGCTACATCCATTCTGAAAAAGGCAAAAGTACAGGCGAACAAAATAGTCCTGGCGGTGGGGGTTGACTTCAAGGAGGCATGAGGATCATTTTGGGGAGGGTGGAATTGTTCTAGGTCTTGACTGTGTGACTACATGACTGAATGTGTTTGTCGAAACTCTTTGGAAGGTATACTAAAAAGAATGATTTTACTTTATGTAAATCACACCTCAGTACACCTGACATTTAAAAAATATATCAAGCTTCATTTATGAAAATCAGCAAATTTCTCCCTTCCACCCTGAGAGTTCTGGTTATGTAATTGTTGAAGAATAGTAGTATTTTTCTAGTTAAGGGGTAGATGTGTGGGGGACGGTATCCCAGAAGATGGCCCTATATGAGCAAAGGCAAGCACATGTGGGTTGAAGTTTGAGAGGAGGCACGAAAATAACCTGGAGGTCACTCAGACCGGAAATTGGTATGATAGGTAAGAGAGCAGTCTCAGGAGTTAGCCTGAATTTGAACCTGACTCTTCTACTTCCTATCTTTGTAACCTTGGGTAAGTTACTTAACGTGTCTATGCCTCAATTTCCACCTGTACAAAGAAAATGGTAATATTTACATGCCTTACAGCTGAGAATTAAGTTCATTAATACCCTCAGTGCTTAGAATAGTGCTGGGCATACAGTAAATGGTCAATTAATAATGGATGAGGCTTTAAAGGGGCAAATTAAGAAGAACCATTTCAGGTGCCAGTGAGAACCATGGAAGGACTTTAAAAGGCGGGGCAGCAACATGAGCAGATCTTTGTTTTGGGTGCATGGTCATTGGAAGTTGGTGTGCAGGAGGGTGATTGAAGAGAGTGAGGGGACTTCTGTGACAGTCCCAGAGGCCCGAGCTGAGGAAGTGAAATATTGGTTCTGTTTCTCTGGAGCATGCTAATACACTGAGTCTTGAGAGAAGAAAGAAACACCAAATGTGTTCAGTGTGAAAGACATGTGGTCTAAGAACCTGAAGATCCAGCTTCTGTCTTCTGTCCGTAACCCAGACCACTCAGGATGCCCATAGGGAATGCAACACCAGGGATGTAATCAGCAGAAGCACTGAAAGCAATAGACATGTCTGTCTTAACTTGGTGAGACCCTCACCCCCATCCCCAAATAATACGTTTAAAAAGAATTCTAGGGGGCAGCCGAGTGGCTCAGTTGGTTAAGAGTTGGCTTGGAACTGTGAACTCTGAGCAGCAGGGCCCTGGTTCAGTTCCCAAATGGGCCAGTGACGCTGCGCCCTCTACAGCTAAGATGATGAACAACAGCTCAACCTGGAGCTGGGCTGCGTGTAGATGGCACAGGCTGCAGCGGGGCTGCAGTGGCTGCCATAAGCTACTGTGTGTGGCTGGCAGCCAGCGTGAGCTGCCAAGAGCTGCTGCGAGCGGCCGTCCACTGGCCTGCAACCGATCTGCCTCACCTGGGAAGAGCGCAATGATATACCAGCATGAGCCAGTGAAGCGACGTCCTCCACGAGACTGAAGAACAAAAGGACAGCAACTTGTCTGTTCCCCTTCCCAGATTCCCCAACGCTGTTCCCCTCTCCCAATTCCCCCAATAAAATGTTTAAAAAGAAAAGAATTCTAATTTACAACATGTATCATTCTGATTTAGGGGGCACTTTCTATATATACAGCTCCATTACCAACCATCATGACCTTGGCTACTTCAGATAATAGGAAATGGTAACGGGTTCAGTTCACACATCAAAATCAATGTACCCTTGAGAGGCAGTTCATTATTGAGTTTTGTGTGCACACACAGGCCACTCTAGTCTCTAATAACTTGTAAATCTGTGTTTTTACTAGCACCTGAACTTGTCCCCCCCCACTTCTTTCCTTTAATGCACACTAGAATTGATAACTTGCCCCTAGCAAGGATCCTAACCCCCTTTTCTTCGACCTGACAGCATTAAAATATTAATGATTATAGATTTTGTGTGCACATGCTGAGCATCCTTATTTTGTTCAACCATTCCTCAAATAATTTAGTTTGTCATAAGATACTTTTGTCACTATCCTGATCGCTCACCTGGGTAGAATCCAGCTTTAACATACTACCTCCTAGAAGGGTGGGTCTCATTTTGAACTTAGCAAGTGTCATCTCACTGATAAATGAAGTATAATGGGAGGATAAGTCAATCATCTGGAATAATCCAAGCCAATATTCCATCAGGACATAACAGTCACACCTTTGAGCTTGCTGTCAGCTATCAGTATAAAAGCAGAGGTTTCTCAAAGGCTGACGGAGTGCTTCAAATAACTAAATTCAACCTTCTTCCGCCCTTCTTCCATTCTCCCACCTGTGAAGTGAGTCATGTGGTAAGTGCGAGCCAGACATTATTTCATGTTTTGCTAAGATGAACTCTGGGCTGGAGGAAGCTGCTTGAGATCCAATAAGCCATTATCTTAGTCTCAATTACGTTTAGGGTACAGGGGAAGTTGTTGTATTTTGCCTTCAACAAAAGAACTAAATCCTCATCAGAAACGACTTGTTCCTGTGTCTCTGCAGACACAGCAATGTCCATGGACATGGCTTAAGGGAAAATGTTTATCCAGAATTGACTTTAATCAGTCTCGGTTCTGATTCTCCTACTCCCCAAGTTATGAATCCTGATCTTTTACTTAAAAATGTAAATAATTTTATACTTGTCTTTCATTACAAGGCACTGAAAATTCTTTCTGGAAGCAGGTAAGGGTTATAAACAACAAATAAAATATTCCCAGCATGCATTAGGTGTGTTAGTAGATTTATGCTTGGCTATCTGTAGGTTTATGGTTTGTGCTTAGATTTCCTGTTGCTGTTAGAAAACAAGGAACATAGCCTTAGAGCTGAGTTAACTCATTGAGTTTTTCTTTCCCTCCCTCAACAAGGACTGCCTATCAGAGCTATTCGCTTTGACATTTCTAAGTAGACTCTCTTACAAGTTACTGTGCTAAGTTTTGTTCCCAGAGATTGCTGCATAGTCATCACATGACCACTTAATATTCTGATGGTTTTATTAACAAGTATATAATACATATATTGCATACTGTATATAGTATATGAGGACTGTACAGTACAAATTTATGTTCACAGTTTGACATGACAAAATGTCATTACTGAATTCCCATTGGACTACAGAATAGAAACAGAGAGGGTACATTAAACATTCACATCTTTAGTAAGAAAGATTACCAAAATGTTTCAGTATTTGCAAGTATACTAATGCATGCTAAAAACCTTTACCCAGTCTTATTAGCTTATAAAATATATTACACTTTATTAAAAATTTCTGCATAGTTTATACAAGTATTAAAGTACTGTAAATGTAATAATCCTGCTATACCTGCAGGTATGGTTTAAGAGATGCTAAGCAGAAAGATTATTTTGACCCTCTAACACTAAGTACATAACAGCAAACAAAAAAAGTGCTAGTATTTGTAAAACGTTGTAGCCCTCGTTTAATGCATGGAAAATGGCTTTGTAAATGTATTATTTTTTAAGTCAATTTGTAATCATTTAGAAATTGTTAACCTCGACCAGGAAGAGAATAAAGACAACTCTGAGCAACTTCATGGATGACAGCAATTCTTTCAAGATGACTGTATATTTTCAAGCCAATTGAAATACTTTAAAACTTCCGATCTTTGAGATTGTCTTTAAAACAATCTAACCAGGAATGATGTGCAGATATACAGTATCAGCAATATAGTCTTTCAAATTCCACATTAGTGCAACACTGATAGTGCAGATGGGTGTTTTATAAAGTATACATATACATATACATATATAGTTCCCCTGTAAATCTGTTCCAAGGCTCTTGAAACTTCTGCATTATTTAGCATTTCCTTTTTGGAACATACCTATGCTACTAACACATTCTCCAAACCAGGCGACTCAGAATGTTAATGCCCATTTACGATGTAGATTCACATTGTAAAACTCTTAAAATATGATGGATTCCGATCTAACTTTTCTGACTTCTTCCCCAAGATGACACTTGGATAATAACTGAAGAAATTCTATGACAATTTATACAACACTAACTCCATGTTTACAAATCATTCTCATCAATTTACCATTGATAGTAACAGGGCACACCGTTAAAACCACACACTCAAGGGCATTTTATCTTGTATTTGAGGCCTCCCACAATAACAGCTAAAAATGACTAAGACTAAATTTCTCAACTATCATAGTTAAGATACAAATATATAAAAAAGGAAAATTTGTAAAGAGCCAATTGATAAAGTATATAGACCAGCATGGGAACAGAATGGCTTCTCTGGGTTGCTTTTCTTTCAGCGTTCAAATGGATTTTTGTTAATGAACTGTTAAAATAATCTAGGCAGGCTAAATAGTAATGTAGTAAGTCTCAGCAGGGTCTCACTTGCACTTTTGAACAAAATCTTAATATGCCATAGTGACTGTTAAACTTCATGAGAACCCATGAAGCTTTCTATTAACTGGAGTCTGATGCAAAGCTAATGATTCAAAGATCAATTCTACCCTTTCTTGCCCCCTTCCCACCTTTTATGGGTTGGATCACACATAAACCAGTTATCTCCAATAAAACAAAACACGTCCTCGCATTCAAGCTTAATTCTTCGGTGTGTTGTGGAAGAACCATTTCAAGAAATAAACACTTTGGCATGAACGTGACTAGGCATTTATAACACAGACAATACTTACTTTTCCAAGAGCCATTTTTATCCCTTAATTCATCTTAGTTGCAAACAAAAAGAAAAGAATAAAGCCCAATTGGGATGTTTTAATATTCTAAACAAATTTTGCAGTGCTTAAGAAAGTAAAAACCAAGTGCCAAGATAACAAATTATTTTGCATTTCTCAACTATGTTCCTTTCCGTCTGTCAGAGAGCTGATGGGTGGAATCTCTTTAGATGCGTAGTCCTTACAACTAACGTTTATTAACATAGCGCCAAAATAAGCTCCCCACGCAATTCTCAGGCCTCCAGAATCACTTATTCACTGATGTTCTAAAAACAATGAAACAGTGTATTCCTCCCAGTTAACGTTGTGTAGGATCCCGAGTTGTGGCTGGGACGAATCTTCAGGATTCCAGTCTTCTCTCTTCTCCATCCTTTATGAAGGTGTATTTGGTTATATGCGCCCACATTTGACCACTGTCACCCACTTCCTTCAAATTTAGGACCAATGACATTTCTATGCATGGATTATTTTTATTGGCATTTAGACTATGATGCTCAAAAGCCTGCTTTTGAAAAACTTCCCCCAAATAATGATGCTATTTATCTTCAACATAAACACAAGTCATTTTCTGTTTGTTTTCTGACAGGATACTTGATAGTGAAAAAAGACTGCCAGCTCCAACAGTACACATTTGGGAATTTTTGAGCTACATATGTGAATCCCTGAACTGTGGTTTTCTCTATTTTTAAAAAATCTGTCCCCCAAATAAAGGTACGTGTGCTTCACAACTATTTATATTTACAAATAGTGTCACTCAAGTCTTAATGAATGAATCTACTAAAGCATTAGCATATGCTTCTTTAGGATATAGGTCATGAACACCAATGACAGCCAATTTGGCACTTTATCGCTCACACAGAGGAGTTTCTGTATGAAAGCTATAGGATAAATTTGATACAGAAATATAATTATCACTCAATGTTTCCGTTTGCAAAAAAAAAAAAAAAGCTGTAAGTTAGGTAAAAGAAGGCCATTCAGACCCTTACCCAAAAGATTTTTTTACCATTACTGGACAAATGTCTTTTGTGACATCCCTCCGATCAATACTTATCACCCCTATTAAGCACATTGTAGGAATGGAGAAAGGTGCATGGGTAACCCCATCAGTATCTGGCTTTGCCGTACGGTTCTGCACAGCTGAATATGCACAGTGACAAGCTCTGGGAACGCACTGCAGATAACCAAGCGATGAAATCCCACTGAAAACCCCCTAGCCTAGGAAGAATGGCCGGCTTCCTCCCCTGCTGCCCTGCTCAACGCCCCTTGGCTCCAACTCCATGCAATGCAAATACAGCATCCTTCCCTTGAACTGACAGACATCGCCCACCTACATCAGCGGCTCTGGCTCATCTTCCCATGGTGACAAAGACCTCCTTATCAGCTGCAGGCACAAAGGAGGGTAAAGGACTTAATTTCGATGAAGTGATAAAGCCACGTTGACTGGCAAGATTGGTGAAGGACAATGGAAGAGCTGACTCTACTAGCTTGAAATCTTGCTGCCTTCTCGCTAACCTGGGAACCGGGTCACCCTTCTTTTTGCTGTCCAGCACAGAATGCGGTCACAGGGCACAGAGGTATGTTATGAATGTCTCTGGCAAGGACTAGCAGGCTTGATACTGTATTTCTAATACATTTACTTCGATGTTCTTTTGAGGAATACATGGAGAAACCGACAATTGGTTATGTTATAGTTTATATGTTCCCTTGTTCTCTTTACATTAAACGTATCTGTAAGAAGGGTTTGCTTAGCATCCCCGGAAAAAAAAAAAAAAGTGTTCACATTCTTTAGGTCTGACCCGTGGTAAGGCGAGGGAGGATTAGAGAATATTTACTACTGACCATATGGAAGTTTGAATGATATAAATTCCGAGATTCAGACCAGCTGAATCAAAATTAAAATGTACATGTAAAAAATGAGTTAGATAATGGGAGGACAGAGAGAGAGAGAACCAGGCGAGTGGGGAGCCGCGCGAGGCGGGAGACGGAGGCATTCAAACTAACATGTGGCGTTTCCTATGCAGGGCAAGGTGGTCAGAACGGGAGAAGCTGCGGTCACAGTCCGGACACTGGAAAGGTTTGATTCCAGTATGTTTTCGGAAATGTCTTGTTAGTTCATCAGACCGAGCAAACTTCCATGTGCATCCTTCCCATGTACATTTGTAGGGTTTTTCTCCTGCAAAAAGGACAAATGAAAAGAGCTTATTTTTTTCTGACAGCGAAAGGCTACTGATTAGCAAAGACAGTAAAATTAAAATATTTGAGCTAAAGCTGTTGACAAATACTATGTCCAAGGTATGTTCATCCATTTGTCTCTCAGTAACACAGTGTTTTTTAAGACACGCAAGAAAAAATTAATTCATTCTCTTAAATATTTAACTGGCTCACTACCCCATCCCATAAAGGGCGGCATAATTTTAAGAGTTCTTAAAGCATAAAGGCACGAAAATCCATTCTGAGGGGCTAAATAGTTTTCGTTTTATCCTCAGTAGTAGGGATTAATAACTTAGGAAACACCTGGTGATCTGTACTTGTATTATCTCCCCGTCTCAAACCTAATTAGGAGCTTAGTCATATGCAGTGCATCCATTCATTGAGAAGTCCAAATTGAAAGTTTGTGGGATTTTCTTATTCTTTTCAATAGTTTTCTAAAAACCTGAAGTCTCTATCAACTGAACTGTCCGCCAGGGATTTCAACAGCTTACCTTTTGTTTAGTCAATAACAACTGTCTAAGTATAATGCTTGAATTCAGAAATGCTAAAAACACAGTAATACGTCCCCACCCTGTCAGAAGCCAGGTTTCTCCCACCCACTCCAGCGGGCTAATGGTAATTTGCAGGTGAGAAACAGAAGACCCTTGTGGGAAAATCAGAGGGAGAGTCATTTGAAGGCCTTTACAAGGAAAAGGGTGTTAATGGCTATCTTACATGTTTATAAATTACTAACAACTGGGTAATGGGCGTCACAAAATAATTCCCATTTACTATCCCTTGATCGCTAGAAACCTTACAGGACTGCCATTCCTTGGCAATTTGACGAAATAATCTGAATTTGTATTATCTGCTTTGCTGCACAGAACAGAAATGAAAAGAGGTATTCTTCCTACATCTGAATTGTTATGCAAATATCCAATACCTTTTTCCTCTTAGGCTAGACTCTGGTTAACACCCACCTCTCAGGTCCCGTTAATGCCCTAGGAGTGCTTTTATGAATCTATCTGGCATAGATTTGGGTGACTGGGTGTTCTTCTAAACACAAGGCTATCACCCTCAGCGCACTCCCTGGTAACGTGATGACAAACCCGAGGGGCAGCTGGACGTAGGCTGGTTTTGATTTTCCCTCGGCTTTCTCTCACTAGGATTCACTGAAAAACTCTATTTCCACTCTGCCAGGCACTTTCCTGCCCCTTTCTCTTCCAAACCCCAGATTCTTCTCTTTTTAAATATGCCTAAGACTAAATAAAGAAAAAAAGAAAAAAAACCTACATCCTGAGCTAAGAACAACGTACAGAGGCAAACTGCTGTTACATGAGAATTTCATGTCGAAGACTCTGAGGTTAAGTCAGATGAGGCCTACGGTGAACATTAATCACCAATACTGACTGCAATTAAGCAGGTTATTTAAAACATTTTTATATGAATTCCTACAGATGTTTTGCTATGAAATGTTCAAGAGCCCACAGAACATACCTATGTTTTCACCACCTATTCAACAATTTTCATGAGCTCTGGCTGCACACTCTATAGTCAATACTGGACAAGATAGAAAAACGTTCTAGGAACAGATATGGCAGGCAATCGCATAGAAGTTCCCTCGGTTTCAGAATAGAGTACGAACATTTCATTTCTATACACGATTGCATTTATTTGTCCTGCAAAAAACTGTTTTTTTGCTATGGTGAATTTGATAATGTATAACATTTACTAAATGAGAGCCCATAGGAAGGCCACTTTCCTGATGCAACAGGCCCATGGTTAAAAGTACTGTTCCAGGGGAGGTTCCATTCCTTTCTCCCGCCTTCACTACAGAGTACAGAACTGCAAGCGACTGGGAGGGGTCTCGTCCTAGAGATAACCTTGAATCTATTCTAAATTATTACAAAAGTAAATCATTATCAAAAACTTCATTTTTCACGACAGAGACATCTGTAGATGACTATGGTAACTTTCAAGATAGCTGAAAAAATTTCATTATAATAACCTCCAAAGTTAGAAGAACGTTTGACTTAACATTCCATTCTAATACTTCTTAAGATGATGGGAGTCTTATATTTCTGATACCTGTATGTGTTCTTCTGTGTGCTTTCAAGTGAGAGCTTTTAGTGTACACTTTGTTGCATCCGTCGTAATCACATCTGTGTATCCTCCGCTTCCTTTGAGTGTCTGGAGATTCCACAGGTAAAGGTCTCTTCCCGGGCTGTACTATGACTGAAGGGTGATTCCTGCGAAAGCCAACGTTAAATGCAGAATATTGAGTGAAAGGTTCTTCCTTTTCCTCAGTCTACCAAAAGCATTAACGACACCGGGCAAAATCAAAAACCAAAAAAACCCGACAAAATAAACAAAAAGAAATTAGCTGATTAACCCAAGAAGCACTGCTTATATTCATTCAACAAACATTGAGTGAGCACCTACCATGAGCCAGGCACTGTGCTTGGCACCGGGACACAAAGATGAATAAAAACAGGGTTCCTGCCCTCGAGGAGCTCACACTCTAGGGGGAGACAGACATGTAGATAAGTAATGACAGTAAGAAGGGTTAGGTGCTACGCTAGAGGGAGGCACAAAGTGCTAGTGGAGTCTTTCCCTCAATAAAAATTTGCCTATTTATAGAATTCTGTGGTACTAGGTAATGCTGAACACTCGCCTATGTTTTCACAGGTTGCCCTGATTTTCATTTCTCATTCTTTCGGGAGAAATGTGAAAGGTCAAATTCCTACGTCTCAGGCAACCACGCTGCAGGATACATCTACATTTTATCCTTTACATAACTGGCATTTAGTTGGAGACTCTTAAAAGATAGCCAATTCACATTTGATTTTCAAATGCTAACTCTTAAAAAAAACAAACAAAAAAAACCACAAAGTTGGCACTGCCGTCTTCAGAACTAAAACCTTTCCTGTTACTATTATTCCTGTGAGAGGGAGAATTTCAGGGCAGTGCCAGCAGTCAGGCCAGGGAGCCCCTTGCCCAGGACACTCACTGGCTCCAAAGCAGGGTCTGTTCCCTCAAGGGGCCTGGCCTTCTCCCTACCTTCCTGATTTCTCTCACCCAGATTCGCATGACTGCATCTGCACAAGTCAAATCAGGTTAAATGTCATAACTATGGACTTTCTCGTCTTCAGAAAGCCAGCTGGTGGAGAGAAAAGGCAGATGGGGAAGAGTTGGGTGAAGTCTGTAGTTTTCTCAGACTTCTGCTAATTAATGTAAGTAATTAAAATTTCTAATCCATTAATTATAATCCATTCATTCACTGTCCTAATGACTAATCACTTGCTACAAGCTTATGTAGTTGGCTTCCAACTGTAAAGAAAGGCTTCTTTTTCTTTTAAATTTGAATCTAAATTTCTTAAGATGTTCCAAATAACATGAATGTTCTGTACAAGTGCGTATGGGGAGAAAAAAGATTGGTGAAAAGGAAAAAAAGAATTTAATGAGGGTAAACACTCAAGCTTGTGAGACAAAGGAGAATAAAATTTAGCCATAAAAATCAAAAGGGGCTCCCTGAAATGAATATTGGTAAAAATTTAAATACGGTCTTTTATCAGTAACTTTTTCAGGCATGCCAGAAAGTGACTAGAAAGAGAATAAAAAGGTGTGTTTAAGTGGTCTTACTTATTTCTCACTTTTATTATTAGCAAAATAAACCTGTCAGTTTTGGGTATCACTTTACCTTTTTACCCTGATGCTTAGAGGAGAAATTTAGATACATGGGAAAATGAACATGAACCAGTAAGGGGGAAAAAAAGAATAAGAACTTCAATTTTATAAATGTACACATAGCAGAGAAAATAGAGAAGTGAGAGAGGTTTATGGACAAATAAAGTTTTGTAAAAGCTGAATCATCAATTTAAAATTCTTCAATAAAAAGAAAAAAGTTCATTAACTTTCAAATTTAATGCCATCCATTAAAAGCGTTTCATCTTTATTAAGAGAACTTCAGGAAATAAAAAGCTGGGGGAAAAAAAGTGGTTAAATATATTTCACACGCCTCTGGAATACTGGAAAAGTATCCCAGATGACTTTAGAAGTTTCACCCAATTATTAGATTTTATGGCTCAGAACTCTGTCCAATAGTTTCTGTGCAGTAGTTATGACCACTTTTCCCAGTTGCTCATTTTGTATATAAAGGTATGCTAAAAAGCTGTGTGTTCTAGCTTTAAATCCCAGCTCTGTAGCGGATAGTCCCTGTGACCCCTGGGCAAGGTGTTTATCCTCTCTGTGAAATATGATCACAGAAGGTTGTAGTGAGTAATGTATACAAAGCACTTAAGAATATGTGTTTCAGATGTAAAAATCTACTCAGTGGTAGCTGTTACCATTTCGATGTTCAGAAGCACATTTGCAAACTCGGCCCCTACAGTTGTTTAATTTCATGAGTTTCGGGGATGTCCCCACATCAGATTACGCAGTCTCTACTCTGGCTAACATCCACCTAGAAAGGTGGCGGCATTCTGAGGGTGGTTAGCAGCCCCATCTCTAAACAGCCAGATGTTTGCACAGCTGATGCTAGAGATCAGCATCTTGAGATCTCAGGAGGCTGGTCTCCTCCCTGCTCATTTTTCAAGAGGTTGTTTGGATCATTACAATGAAGAAGTTAGAACGGCTATTAAATATCAGAGACCTGGCCATTGTTTTGAGTTAAGCTGACCTCTCTGTTCATGTTTGCTGCCTTTCACGTACACAACCAAATGGAGAAACCTGATCCTCAACCTTTGTGTTCTAAGTGCATTTTCACACATGTAAATATGTAACCAAAGGAATTTGATATACATCTGAGTGCCTTTACAAATAATTCTAAAGGTGTAGCTCTATGTAATCAAGCAAATAGATTTCAAAGCTGTATTTTAAAGTCTGCCTCTAAAGGAAAGTTTCCTAAAGCAAATTACTATTGGGGCTGCCTCATATAATGGTACCAGATAGTTGGTTTCAAGTGATTCTTTCCTGGCTAGTGGGTTTCCCATGTGGGCTGCTACTGGGCACCCTCCAAGATATTACTTTATCGCATCTGTGAGAAAATTACTTAAAGAGTACATGTTCCGGTTGTGGCTAATCTGTTGAATTTTTTGAGAGGGAAAATGCATTCCCAGGTCAGCATTAGACTAATATCAATCATTAAAAGCCATCGAGCTTAAGCTCATCAAGAGAACATCACCTAAAATAAGAAAAGAGAAAACGTACTTTCTCTTCAGCAGCATTCAGAGCACAGGATCTTGTCTTTAAATATTCTTCTTCCATAATGTTTTACATTGTAATTCATAACAACCTAGACTGTGGAATAACCCCTTTCAGTCAATGGATTCCTCCCTATGTAGGCACTGGTTTTAGAGTTTTTTTCATCACCGGTGCAGGAACAATTACATGTGCAAGTTGTGATGCCATGACCTTGCCACACACCCGCCATCATAAAAGGAGGTAATTCAGCCTACAAGAAGGGTCCACTCTGGCTAGCCTTTCTGTTTTTCCTTTCAGTTGAGTGCATGTGCAGATGCAATCAGCGAGAGATAGGTTGAAAATCTATCTACGGGAAGCAGACCAAACTCAGGCCCCCTCTATTGCTAACAGTGGGGTTACAGGTGAGTTATCCAAGGTCTTGGCTCCTCAGTTCTCTAGTATTTGCTCTGACGCCCACATGCTTGTTGTGGGAAAATAAAGTAACTCCTTTGAAAACACTTGGAACGTTTCTTTTTTTGGGGGGAAGAGGGGCGCTATGCAATTGTGAAGGCAATAATGTACATGTCCACCTGATATTCTTCCTGCTGATGTGGCCAGATAAGAAAATTCATTTTCTTCTTCATCTATCAGGGAGTATATGACAACAAAAAATTGATTATGCTTTGGTGCAATGGGCAATTAATACAGGCACCTACTTGGGCTGAATGTGGATACAACTAGAATATATTTGAAGTTCCAGGAGATAGCTAAAACCAGAGAATTTACATTCTGTTGCAGAATTAACTGTGTGAGGGAGAGGGGTGGAGAATATAAAATAGAAAGGTAGGCAGAACATTTGTTCAAGCTGGACAAAATGTGACATGGGAGGAAGATAATGGAAGGAACCCTGAGGAGATTAATTGTTGCCTCTGTACTAGGAAGCTGGTCACTAAATCTAATGTCGCAAGCACCATAACACAGGACCATTATAAGAAAAAGAATTATAACCAATAATGAAAATAAAGAGGAAACAGAGGCAGCAAGATTAAGCGATTAGCCCAGGGTCATACACATGGTGGGGAGCAGAGCTGGGACCCAAGATGTCAGATCCAAAGGTCACTTTCTTAACTACTTCAAACACAGCCTCCAGAGTAATCACAGGCATATCTAGTCAAGGTTACCTGGTGTCAAATCCCATTAATGATGTTATTTAACCTGTGTGTGACACCATAATATTATAGCAAGTTAAACCTAAAACAAACCACCGTTCAGGTGCTTGGATTCTGCGTAAACGTCTACTAAACAGTGGTTCTAAAGCAGACTGAAAATTCTAGGGGTAGACATGAATAATAGAGTTCTTTCAACGCTGAGCTTTTTGGAGCTACATGATCAATTTCTGTTGCCACCACTTATTCACAGGACTTGTTCTGGAGTGTGTTTCTTGGGCTTATGGTTGGCCTGAAGATTCTGATTCAAGACATTCCCCATCACAGAAACAGTATACTCTATTAGAAGTGACAACTGGAAGGACGATGTGTGTCCATGTGAACAGTTTTCATGATCCAACCTTACGTGGAATATTTAGAATATCAAATTCAACCAATGCTGGGATTAAAGTTATGGCAAAACTATGTGTGCACAGTCTGGAAGAATGAAAAAAAAAAAGAAACAGGGTAAAGATGATATCATGTGGTAAGGTGTCAAAATCATGGGTGACCAATTCACTGGTAACTTGAGGCCATTGTCACAATGCTGTCCATGGAACAGAGCACACAGTTTTTGGAGAGTCTCCCATCTTGCCCAGTGGCTGCCATGTCCTACAAAATGTTCCTGGCAATCCATGCATCACGCGTTGGAAGCTTGTGCTTCCATTCCAGCTCCCAAGATGCATGCTGCTACAAAAATGCTGGGTAGACCTAAATATACTTACTCTTGCAACAATGCTTGAGGGGGGGACACTGAGTTCATTACAGGGGGTGACATTTCTTCAGGGTAATAATCCGTCCTCTGTGGTTCGATCCCAGGTTCTATTTTAATTTTCTTCTGTAATATTGGCTTCTCGTACGATTCAATTACAGGTACTAAGAAATAAAAATAGGAAAAGTCACTCTATGTACAATTTACCAATTTCAGCTTTTAAAAGCGGATTGCATGGCTTGTATCTACAACACTGATGTGTGAGGATTTGCCTTTGGCAAAATTACAGGTGCAATGAATTTGCAGGGCATACTTGTTTCTCCAGGCCTCACTGACATTGTCAGTAAGCAGCACAAATAGGAAGCCGGACTTTTAAGACATCAGTTCCAAAATGATTCTTCCTTATGATTTTTGGTTATTATTGCCTTTCAACCCCCGTCTTCTGACCATGACCAGTCAGTAAACAAAATAGCTTTTAACAGCCTCTCATTATCACCATGATCTAAAGGTATTAAATGCCTTTTGCACCTAGACCATGTCAGCATTCTATAAAGCAAAATATAAAAAAGTAATCAAAATTCTTAATATCCCAAAGCTGACAATTACACAGTGAAAGTAATCATTTCATGGCATTAAACCGACAGCCTCGTTCTTGGGAACTCTTTGAGTTATCAACACACGCACACGCACACGCACACACGCACGTGCGAAATGCCTGAGGCAGACTCGCAAGTGGAAAATTTTCTTTTAAGAGTTCACCAGCTCTGACCCCTTCACACTCTCACCCAGGGCTGTCTGGTGAAGACTCGGGATATACTAAGTGGGAGCAGCAGTGTGGATGGGTGGTGGAATTTACCTTGCATGCTACTATTTGAGTTCTCCATCTCCTCGGACAAGGACACCATGAGCGGCTGCTGGAGGTGGCTGGTGTACATGAAGGGGACAGGCTGCACCACAACTGGCTGTATGACCGGCAATATCCCTGGGCTCCGAATTCCGTGTCGGGAGAGGGCGGCGGCCATCACCGGCGGCATGGACAGGGGCATGCTGAAAGGCTGCACTCCTGGGGGCGGGGGTGAGTACTTTTTCATCGGCGGGCTGGAAGACGGCATGCCCAACCCAGGCGAGGCTCTCCGGTGGGATGACTGAAACTTCAGAGAGGAAGGAGAATTCCCAGCAGAGGGCGGCGAACTCCTCTTGTTCACGGTGAGGTCCACTGGCTCCATTTGCATCCCGGGTGACAGGCCTTCTGGGGTCTGGAAGAACTTCTCAGGTAATGGAGTGGAGTAGATGACTCCATACTTGTTGGGCTTTATCGATTCCATGTAAGTAGATGGATATGACTATTGGAAAGAAAACACAGAAACATGGAAACAGCCAAGTAAGTACATTTGCTTGGAACATGAAGATGAAAATATACAAGGCACTTTCACAATTACATGAACTTTAATAAGTGGTTTGGATTCAGATATATGCTTGACCCTAAAAAAATGTTATGAGAGAGCTGGTCTAATAAACGTAAAAACTAAGGTTAATGTGGTGACCCTGTGGCACACGGAAAGTCTCAGATTTAATTCTAAGATGATACCCATGTGAAATATTCAGTTTGAGGTTGATGACTGCCAAAATTCTCAAACAGGTTATAAAACAGAACCCTCTGGGCCTTTATCACTAGGAGTCAGAGTTAGGGTTCACCAAGAGCCAGCCAAGCCAACGAATCTCACTGCTTTTCTGATGGGATTTCTTAATTAGCAGGCAATGCTCTCTAGCTTTTGAGTTTCACTTCAGCAGCAGGAACCTGATCATTTCTCATGATATACCTGTGTATAATATGGAGAACCAGAGCTGCACGGCAGTAGCTTGGGGATGAGCTGAAGCCGCTGACGGATCCCTGGCAAGAATGTCACACAGTCCTGATTTGCCTGAAACTGTCTTGGTTTTAGCACTGAAGTCCTACAACCTACGAGATACCTCAGTCTCAGGCAAACCAAGGTGGTCCATCACCTACACATCTGTCCACTGAAGGCCATCCACACTACGGTAACTACGCCCTTGGCCCCAACTTCTTCAATGGTCTTATGCAGTTTGAATGATGCCGTAGAAGGTGACTTGATTTCCAAATTTGTGGATGACACAGAACTGTAAGAAACCGCTAATATAATGACTCAAATCAGGACATGTGATGCTTGAAGTGACTGGCACTGAGGCTGAGGCCCAGTGTTCTCTCCTTTACACCTTGCTACCCCCTCCATCAAGAGGCTGGAGGAGAGACAAAATGGTTTGTTTCTGCCGAAAGCTAAGATCTGTTCTACAATTGACCTCATTTATCTTCAAATACCCTTCTCTCTTCTATCAGGATAACTGAACTCACATCAACCAGCTTTAAATATAAACCAATCAGAATAATTGCACTCTGATTAATGTCCTTGGCCATGGAAGTCACTAAAATTACTCTATTTCTTAACTAAAATTAAAAACAAAACAACAGCAAAAAAACCTTTGTTGTACAACGCTTAAAAAAAAATTAAACAGGACTGGCCGAGTGGCGTGTTGGTTAAGAGGTGGCTTGGGATGCCAGCTCTGAGCACAGGGCGCCAGTTTGGATCTCACATGTGGGCCAGGGACACTGCGCCCTCTACAGGATGGTGAACAGCTCGACCTGGAGCTGGGCTGCAGTGAATCGCCGGCGACCGCGTAGGCTGCAGTAAGCTGCCAGAAGCTACTGTGAGAGGCTGGCAGCTGGCGTGAGCTGCCATGAGCAACCATCCGTCCAGTGGCTGGCAAGCGACTGCCTCACCCGGGAAGAGCACAATGATCATACCAACGTGGGCCAGTGAAGTGACGTCCTCCACAACTAGACTGAAGAACAAAAGAACAGCAACTTGTCTGTTCCCCTTCCCCGATTCCCCAATAACATCTTAAAAAAAAAATTTTTTTAAACATAAGCCATTTTCTTTACATGTATGCATTTTATGGAAACTGAAATTTTTAGTAATAACATGTTAATTCCTCCCGCAGAAAATTACTTGTATTTGAATGTTTTATAGTGAAAGTGATAAGCAATGTACTATGCCTCTACTATTCCAGCTCTTAAATTCTGTGTTTATGATTGAGGCAATACTAGCTCATGATGCAACCAGGAACACCCCCCAGTGGGGCCTTATGATTAAATGGCTCGAATGCACTGTTAATTTCTGAGTTTCCACGGCCCCTCCAGTGGCCGTGTAATAAACTTGTGGGGTAGCAGTCGTCTTGACGGAGATGACTGAGATCACTCCCTTTCCTCTCTGGGCGACTCTCTACCTGGCTATGCCTCAGATTCACTTGTGCTGATGCCTGATCTCGGCTCCAGGCCCACTGAGCATCAGAGTATCGGGGAGAAGGGCGTCCAGGCAGTATTTATCTGCATCAGGTTTTGATGTCAGTTTCTCATCATTGTGTATTTTGTTCTTGTGTCCTTTCCTTCTTTACCTACATCATCTGTATGGTCTCTTAGAAAAGTGACGCCTGCTGGAGCACATCTCTCCGGGGGTAATGAAGATATTTACCGATGGTACACGTTGAACATGCAGTGCTTTAAAATAATTAGGTGTTTCGTTAAATGTGTAAGAAAAAACCTTTTTTACACAGTGATATAATATTCCCTGTTAACATTTATTATGTTAAAAAAAGAAAAAAAGCAATTGACTAAAAGGGCAGGAAAAATTACAAACTAAATATTAGAAGTGCAGGTGCCACCAGGATATGACCAGGCTTGTCAAGGCAGTCCTGCCAACCCACCTTCTAGGAGGTCGTGAGGTTTCAATTAAAATTGGATGCAGTGAAATAACCGACGTAATGAGCTTCACGCGCACTACTGGCCTCCAAGTCCCTGCTCTTCTTATACAAGGGGCGTGTATAATAACGGGCTCTGAGCCCCCTACTCAGGGCTTCTCAAACTTGACTGTGCGCACGAGTTCACCTGGGGGTTTTGTTGAACTGTGGATTCGGAATTACTGGGGAGCGGCCCGAGGTGCATAGACCTCCTCTTACGGCATTTTGAATAGCATAGCTCTCAAGGATAGAAATATAGAAAATACTAATTTTTATCATTAAAATCTGGTAAACCGTTTGAATACAATTTAAAGAGAGGAGGGAAGAATTTTCATTCATAATACTGCTTAAACACAAGGACGTAAAGGATATAAACTCAGATATATGAATTGTTTTTTAAAACTGCTTTATGTATGGTTGATGAAAAAATGAAATTTTTTGGTGAAGAAAAGACAATTTTTAATTTTATTTAGAACCAGGCACACATAGGTACAGCACAAGGTGAGGGGGCCCCAGACAGACAGCAATATTAATACTAAATATATTTAAATATTAAGAGGCACAAGCCTCACTAACCAAAATATATTTATGTTCATAAATAAATGGTGCACAATGAGAGTTTAATGAAATAATAAATACAAGTGAAAAAAATGTTTTCCGAGTCCTCAAGTTTAATCTGCTTTATGTAATTCTCTAAAGGGCAAAAGTTCTGGTCCTAGAAACAAAAACTTCAGGAAATGGAAGGCATGAATTGTTACTACTTGCCAAAATGTAGCTTTGCCCTTATTTTCAGCCCTATTCTTCACAGACCTCCCTATGACCTAGTTTTGAACGCCAAGTTATTGGCAGCTCAGTAGGAAGCAAAACAGGGACGCGCTTTTGCTGCTGTCATTGCTTGATTTTTCTATCCGTGGGTGAGTTTAAGGAAAGTAGGAATTTAGAACCTGGGAGACTGGCAAATTTAATAATATTCTCAGGTTTCTCAAGTTATAAAGAGAAAAACCAGACAGAAAGCCAAGTTTTCTAAGCCCTCAGCACAGTTTGGCTGAGAGCTGGCTCTCCAGCAAATGCTCCCCACCCCCTATTCTATTGATGTGTGGTGTTTGTTAGGCCAGGGGTTAAAAGGAAGGCAAAGCATTTGGGCACACAGCTCAGTACACCCTTAACTATTTCCACCCCGACTGCATTACAACAGGGCGAAGAAATGTGGTTCCTCAAACTGTCTCACTAGCAAATTTCACAGCAACGTTTATCAGGACCGTCTATAAGGAGACATGTTTCATTATTTGGGTGGAGCACACAGGGTACTGCAATCAGCCTACAACAATCTGGTTCTCCACAGTGTAAGGACCGAGACAGGGTGTGCTCCGGGTGTGTGCCTCGGGTGAGTTAACATCCTGGTAAATAGTTGCTTCTTCTGTCCCAGACCATTCCTATCTTCTAACAAAGCAAAGCAAACAAGCCTGTAACAGCAGGGGCCCCAAATCCAAATCAGGGGCAAGTGTTGATGAATCAGAAAAGGCACCTCTGGCCACTGATGGGCATCCAATGCCCCCACACATACTGCTTACCTGAAGCGGCCCCATGTGCTGGAAGAGGGCCTGAAGACAAGACTCCAGCAAGGTCCCCCCCATCCAAACCCCACTAGGGTGGGTAATGGGTATGCTTTTCAAAAAGATTTGTTATTAAGAAAGGTTCTTTCCCTCTGTTGGAACATGGATTTGTGTGTTCACACCTCCATACCGTTTGCGTCATTTATTTGTGCATGGACTACTTTTAGTGAGAGGACTGCTTCCTCTCACTAGAAGGGCACCCCAGAATAGGTGCTCCATAAATATTGGATGAATGAATGAAGCAAATCAGCACACTCTCTGAGCAAGTGTGTCCAACTGACAAGGCTAAGAATAATTCCAATTCTTTGATTCTCAAAAAAAAATTTTTTTTAATTGTGATGGGGAAAAGCGTTCAGGGTTTGAGTAATTTTCCTAAGTTATCACTTTATACTCAAGTGCAAATTTCTGTAGTTTCTTATTTTACTGGAATAGGGTTGGTGAGTTTTTCATTACAGGACATTTTAACTGGATGGAACAAATGCCTGAAACATGGATGAAGTCTATTTCACTATTCATTAATATTAAAAAAAAAAAAAAGTGAACATCCGTGACAGGGTGGTGGCGAGTCAAAGGAATCTTCATACCAAGGGTGGGGTTCCCAGGGCAGGAAGGTGTGGTGCAATCGTAAACACACACTCTGGAAACAGCTAATGTCATGCCCCTCTGTGCAAACAGAATGAGAAAGCGCTTTCTCCAGGCTCAGAAGAGCCATGAAAAGTCTGTTAGGACAGAGCAGAGAAACTCATACTGATTTTAAGCACTTTTCAATCTGTAAGGAGTCTGTTAGACAACAATTTTCATTAAAAGAAAAAAAAAAAAAAGGAATGTACTTTCTTCAAAAGTAATCTTCCAATAGGAATAGAGTAAGAAAGAATACTTTTTAAAAATTTGTTTTCTTTCTCACTTCCGGAGTTCAAATTTTTTTAATTTTTAATCTTCTTTGGAAATGTACATATTGGTAAAAATAATTCCTTGACATGTGCATTTTATATTCATAGGCTGTCTATATTTTACAAATTATAATCTCACATTTTACAAATTGAAAGAAAAATAAAATAATAAAATAGGCTCCAGGAGCTGTTGGTGGTTTTTGCCAACACTAACCTTGAGAATAAGTAGCAGAGATCCATGCACAGACCTGGGCAGGCAGGGTCTACTCTGCTCCCTATTCTTGTCAATTTGACCATTTGCCTCAAAGCACAGGATGGTATGAAGGCTTCTATTTAAGTAAGAGAGAAACAACACTTCCTCGCTTTCTCTAAATTATAGCAAAATACCAAATAGGCAGATTGCTTCTGCTGTGTTCTCATTTTAAGAAAAACGGGAGGTGGGGAAGGAAGGCAAGTCGCTGTGAAACTTTTTTATTCATATGTGGAATTAAAACAAACAAGCAAAAGCTTACAAATTGTTCTGTACTGCCTTAATGTTTAGAACATTGACTCAGACAACCAAAGATTTCAACCTTCAGGTCAAAGATGGAATTAAAATGAAAAAAAAAAAAAAAGGAATAATAAATTAGGTTTCCTATACTCTACCTATGAAAGCAGGAGAGATGAAATTTGAAGATTTAAGAGTGAAAACAAAAGCTTATTTAATATTGTTAAGAAAACAATCACAACACCCTACTCCCCAAGTGTTTCAGTTAACTGAGGTTTCACTGAATTAAGAAAAAGAAACTTCATTGTAAGGACTGACACTAACTTTTGATAAAACAATTTATTTCTATAAGTGTTAGTGGAAGTTGAAAACTGGAGCATGAAGGAGAAAAGGACCATTAATTGCAAAAACACTTCTATATATTCTAACTTCATGTATTAACATAAGTTATAGCATTAGAAATGTAACGGTTACTTCAAATGCATTTTATTTCCATTTTTTTCAGTTAAGCGCATTTTCTTGCACTTAATTATATCATACTAGCAATGTGGCTCTTCATTTTAGCTTTAAATTAGGCTCTTGAGCCCTATTTTCATGCTTGATTAAAAGCACTGGAGGTATACTGAACAGTAGTAACATGCATCATTGATGGTTCTGCATCATTTACAAAATTAATCATATTCTCCGGTACTAAAAACCTATTCATATTTCAAGGGTATAATTAATGGAGAAATATTATAGCTTAATTTTCCTCCAACATGATCATGCAATAGTGGGGAAAAGGGGTTGATGAATACAATGACAGCGCCAAATAACATTAGAAGTCAATTTAGTTTTTTGATCAATACAATTGTTATTGCTCCGTTATCACATTCAGACACTTGGTTATCCAGTTATCATGCTGGAGTGTAAACGTTATTTCCTTAAAGCCACTCTGACTTTTCATTGTACTTCACTGGCTTAGTAATATCCATGGCAACTCGGTTCCAAGGGCCTCAGAGTGACCCCTGTGTCCTGTATAAACATTTTTGGCAGGAACCTCCCCAGCCAATGCATAAGTATGATCTAATTTTGCAAGTGTGTCATTACCAACCTTCACATATACAACTCTGCCCAAGCTTTTCCCCTTGTGAATATTTTCCAAGCCCGTGGAAGAAAAGAGCAAGACAGAGTGAAAGTGTTGCCTGTTATTTCATATTTACTAAACCAGATTCCCTCAAGTCTAAACCCCTCCTTGCTTTGAAGTGGGACACACCTTTCTGTTGTCACCCATGTCCCATCTCCATAGCACTAGTGTTGTACCTATATTGACACCTGGACTAATTACCTGTCTCCTGGTGGCTGAAAAGCATCTAGAGGAGCCCGGCTCACAAACTGGGCCAGCTTAGCACTAAGGTGTTGAAAAAGACAATGAACATAATTCCCTCCCAACCACAGACTCTTTCAAATGAAACAAAATTCGCTAGCTTCTCCTCAGTCACAGTTCCATAAGGCTGCTGCCATCAGTTTTTTTTGTTTCCTTTTGTTTTTAAATTAGAGTTTATTTATTGGGGTGACAATGGTTAGTAAAGTCACATAAGTTTCAGGTGTACAATTCTGTAATACATCATCTATCTATCACATTGTGTGTTCACCATCCAGAGTCAGTTCTCCTTCCATCACCATATATTTGATCCCTTTTACCCTCATCTACCATCCCCCTCCTGTCATCAGCTTTTAAGCAAATCATTTTTTTTTTTTAAGATTTTTATTGGGGAACTGGGGGATGGGAACAGCTCTGGGGAATTGGGGAAAGGGGAACAGACAAGTTGCTGTCCTTTGGTTCTTCAGTCTAGTTGTGGAGGACGTTGCTTCACTGGCCCAAGTTGGCACCATCATTGCGCTCTTCCCAGGCGAGGCACATGAGTCGC